CGGCTGCAGCGCCGCGGGTGAGTCCCGGGGCCTCGCCGCCTTCCCTGTAGCCGCGAGTGGGCCTGGGGTGGGGGGGTCTTGTCCTCCCATAGTATAGGCCCGGGGACCGGCTGCGGTGAGGGCTTTTGTCCCAGAAAGACGCCGAGAGGTGGCTGCGGTCCCTCTCCACCCATCCTCAAGAGGTCTCCCAGATGTCATCTGTGGGAAGGCTTTCCCTGACCCTCCTTCCGAGTACCTCCCCACGGGCGTTCTCTTTGTACCTGGCGTCTCTGTGTCCGCCCGGCGTGGGAGTCGAAGTGTGTTCGTCTCACTTGCCTTCCTCTAGGCTGCGCTGACGGTCCCTGGTTTAATGAGATTGTGCCTCTTTGGAAGATACCACTTAGGGGCCCCGAACCAAAAATAACTAAAATTTAAATACTCCCTACACCCCAGCACTGCATTACACCCCTGCGTGCATTATCTTCTTTAATCATCTTTGCAGCAACTCTGTCACTTAAATGGGTGGCGTGCGCTTTTTACAAATTGGGAAACAGCCCAGCGATTAAATATCTTTGCCCAAGTAAGTGATGAAATTGAGATTCTAACTCAGGAAACTGGATCTGAAGAGTCGGAACTCTTTACCACACCTCCATCATGGGGAATGCAGCATGACTCTTCCTTGGTCCTCAAATAATTATCTAATAACATTCATTCAAGAAATATTTGTTAAGTGCCATGCACTCTATGGGAGCTTTCACTTTGCACAGAATCAGTCTCTGTGTGTTTTTCGTTTTTGGTTTTCGAGTTTTTTTTTTTCTTTTTTCCTTAGATCCTTGAGCTCATGAGAAGGAGAGAGACAGAGACAGAGACGATGAGCTGGTAAAGTGAGAAATCACCCCACAGGGAGGATGGCCATGCCGCAGTCTCTTCTCCATTTTACTCCTGAGACTTTAGGCATACGGGCCGGATGTGATTTTGAGACCACCAGGTCTGGGACTCAAACTGCGGTTAACCATGTAGGAGTCCAACATAGTCTCTGTTTTAATGGCAGCTGAAAATCCGTCTAACTCAGTACAATGTGACACTTCATAGTGCTAGCAATTTGTGTGAGAGAGATGAATCAAATAAATACAGAGTAAATTTAGAATTCTAGCTATGCTAAGTGCAGTGAAGGAAGGAAAAACAGTTTAGAAAACAACTATAAGAGGAATTCTTTGGTTTGAATTGGGTGCTGGGAAGGTGAGAGTCTTGTTATTGGAAATTTCCCTGAGCACAATGATTTTTTTTTTTTTTTTTATAACAGACATTTTTGCTATAGGGTGCATATGCTTGCTGGAGAGACGGAGAGACAGCAAGAAATCACCCTCAAGGTGCATGGCCACACCGCAGTCCCTTCTCCGCAGTCCCTTCTCCTCTATTCTCCTCTGGAGATTTTGGGCATGCACACACACGCACCTGGTATGAGTTTTAAGCCGCTGGGTCCAGGACTTGAACTGTGGTCAACTATGTGGGAGTCCAGCAATGAAACCATTATGCCATTTGCTGGTCCTGAGTTCATGAATTTTGAAGCTGAAAATTAAAGTTTGAATATGATTTCATGGGTTTTGAACACCTTTCAAAGCCTAAAAGTGACCCCTGGGTTCTGAAAGTTAACTAAATTCACATTAGCCACTCGGTCATGGAATCATTTATTTACTTATTTATCAGATATTTAGAGAACTTCCACTGTGTGCTAGACACTGTGATATAAGTGCTGGGAATACAGTAGTGAACAAAATAGGCATGACCTTTGCCTTGACAGAGTTTGTATTAGAGATATTTAAATCAACTCCCCAAATTTTTCCTTTTTTGTGTACTTTTTTTCACTTAAGACAATAATACCAGGACCAGCAGGTTGTATGATGATTAAGGACGGTGGATTCCCACATGGTCAACCACGGTTCGAGTCTTGGACCTGGCGGCCTTCTTTCTCGCTTTCGTTTTCTCTCTCTGTCTGGTCAAATTAAAAAAAATAATAATAACAAATGAAATTAAATAAATAATTCTTTTTAAAAAGACAATAATCACAGATTTTCATGGCTTTACTCAGGGTATACGGGGTGAGGATAACCCAGCATTCTTTTTTTCCCTTAATTATTTTATTTAACTTTATTTTGACTAAAGAGGGACAGAGAGAGAGAGAGAGAGAGAGAGAGAGAGAGAGAGAAAGAAAGCCCCCAGGTCCAGGACTCAAACTGTAGTCAGCTGTATGGAAGTTCAGCACCCTTAACCACCATGCCACCTGCTTGCCCCTAACTCAGAATTCTTAAGAAACTTAAGACTACCCCTAGGGCCAGCAGGTAGCATAGTGGTTAAGGTGCTGGCTCCTACATAGCTGACAGTTTGATTTGACCGTTGGACCTGGTAGCTTGAAACACATGCCAGGCATGTGTTCATGTGTTCCCTAAAGTCCTGAGCAGAGAATGGAGGAGTAGGGATTGAAGCATAGCCATCTCTCCTAGGAGATGATTTCTCACTTTCCCTCTTTCTCTTTCTTTAACGAGCGCATGTACCTTATAACAAAAAAAATTGGGAAAAGAAAAAAAAAAAAAGATTGCCCCTAGACATTACTAAGATGTTAGTTTGTCTGGGCTGTCACTTTCACTCTTGAACCTTCTCCAAGACTCTCTTACTGATTTTGCTTTAAAGTACATGATTTCATTAAAACAACCCTTCACTTCTGAGTTTATTATACTGGCTGGCTGTTGACTATTTGCTGGTTCCTGCAGGAGACCCAGAGGTGAGTGCGATGGATACTGCGAAGGCTCTTATCTTGGGGGAGAGCCACAGAAGAAAAAAATGGGAACCAATCAGTGGGCATGTTGAGAATAAAGAGGTGCTTGTTTTATTATCAGCTATTAATTATTCATATATTCTTCAGCTGGGGAAATGTCTGATGAGGAGATCAAAAAGAAGACACTAGCTTCAGCTGTAGCCTGTTTAGAAGGGAAGTCACCAGGGGAGAAAGCAGCAATCATCCATCAGCATCTTGGCCGTCGAGAAATGACAGATATGATCATTGAGACCATGAAGTCCAACCCAGGTATATTTTCTAAAACTTTGGACTCTCTTTTTTTGTTTTGTTTTGTTTTGTTTTCTGCTATAGAAATCACCCCACAGGGAGGATGGCCATGCCGCAATCCCTTCTCCTCCATTCTCCTCTCGGGATCTTGGGCACGCATGCACACGCGCCCGGCGTGAGTTTAAGCCACCAGATCCGGGACTCAAACCGCAGTCGACTATGTGGGGGTCCGGTGACATAGCCATTATGCTAACTGCTGGTCCCATTGGACTCTCTTTTGTAATGTGAGTCCCTGGTTGCTTGTTTTATACACGTTGTTGGATGAGCCTGTGATTTTGACCTCTAGCATACTTTCATGCTTCACTGCCCTTGTGCTTTACATAAGGCGATTAAGCCACATTTCAGCATTTCCAAATATTTCTACTAACCAATCTCAAGAAGCTGGGTTAACAACTTTATTTTGGTTGGAGAGAGCTTCTTGCCACCTATCTCAGTGACAGATTATGAGTGTATCAGATAAGCATATTGTGCCGTCCCCTGTCCTGCCAGCTCATTCCAGCCAGGAAAATGGATATAAATATTGTATCTCTAGTACATGGAATGGTCAGAACTGGTAGGTTTGGTTTTCAAACTTAATAGCCCCAAGTGTTTATCCCACTTAGGAGCATGTGAGAGAACATACCTGATTGTATGAAGGTATTTTTGGGTTAAGCATTATCCTTGAGTCTCAGAGGAAGTTAATAAGATTTTTCTGGAACAAAGAAAACTGTACAGTTGAGATGCCTTCCAAACTTGATTGTTCCATGACTGTATTGATGTATTGGGTCGTTGGAAAAAATCATGACACATTTTTGCATAGAAAAACATGTCATGACTTTTCCGATGACCCAGTAGTTCTTAAAATAGTACATTACAGGATCAGCAGGTGGCATGGTGGTTAAGGCGCTGGACTCCCACATGGCTGACAACGGTTCAAGTCTTGGCTTGCTTTCTCACTTTCTGTCTCACTCTGTCTCTCTGGTCAAATTAAAATAATAATAAATAAAATTAAATAATCTTAAATAACAGTACACTACAATTTCTCTGTCCAAGTTTATTCTTCTGACTTGAAATTTTAATCTAGTTAGAATCCTCCAGCATATTTCCTATCCGTTTATAATCTGCTAATTTTTGTTTTGCAGAAGACAAGATAAAAACTACAGTGGAAGAAAGGAAGTCGTCAGAAGCATCCCCCACCGCACAGAGAAGTAGAGATCAAAGTAAAGAACGTCCAAACACTGCTCCTGATTCTCCATCCAAACAGCTTCCAGACCAGATTTCATTCTTCAGTGGAAATCCATCAGTTGAAATAGTTCACGGTATTATGCATCTATATAAGACAAAGTAAGAAAACCTTTTCCCTTTTGTGTTAATCTATTTTTTTTCCCTTTGATTAGAGAAAATTATCTTACCTTGAAAGGAAGTGAATATTTTAAGCTTCAAAAAAGATAGCACATTTATGGATTGTGTGTCAGAGACTTTTTAGATGTTTTACATTTGGTTAATCTTGTGGCTTGGGGGTCAGAGTTATTCCTTAGAAAAGTATAGGTACACTTAAGAAATACCTTGGAAGAATATTCCCTTAAACAGGTAGGCATGTAAGGGGATGAGGGAATTGAAGTGACAGACAATAAAAAAAGAAAATTATCAGGGCCAGCAGGTGACAGTGGTTAAAGCTCTGGAATCCCACATGGGTGATCATAGTCTGAGTGCTGGACCCTACAGCTTGAAAATTACACTGGGTACGTGTGCACGCATGCCCAAAATCCCAAGAGGAGAATGGAGGAGAAGGAATTGTGGCGTGGCTGTACCCCATGGGTAATGGTTTCTCACTTTCTCTCTCTCCTCTAAATGCGTGTGTCCTATGGCCAAAACCTTTAAAAAAAAAAGAAAGAAAGAAAGAAAGAACGAATGAAAAAGAAAAAGTGATTTACATTATCCTCCTACCAAGTCTTTGCTGAAGAAGCTGCCAAGAGATCAATAAACAGATTACAATCTGATCACCATTTTTTTTTTTTTACCCGTTTTGATGGTCCAAAAAAATTCTTGCTAGAGGCCCAAAGAAAGGAATTACTCAGCTAGATAATATACAGGCTGGGCTATTAGCTCCTTGGATAATTGGTAGCTGATGTCTTAAAGGTTGTCCTTGTCGTAACTTGTTTGCCAGGTTCCTACAGGGAATACAGTGACTACTCAGGTAGCCATTTTGGATAACAACTGTCCAGTGAGTTTGCAGCATGTCAAAAGCAAAATGCATCGTAGGAGAACTTCCTTTCTCTGTCCCAGCTATTTCAACCCAGTAACACTTCCTGCATGTCATGTCCTCATGAATTAAAATTATTGAATTTAGAATTAATTTTTCTTGTAAACCCTTGAAGAAAGTCCATATATGTAATTGTGCTTTCAAGTTACCCAATGACAGATTATTATTAAACAAATGAGAGGGGCCAGCAGGTGGTGCAGAGGTTAAGGTACTAGATCCCACATGGCCACTTTTGCAGTTTGAGTCCCAGGCCTATCAATTGAAAATCATGTGGGGTACATGTGTGTGCAAGTCCAAAATCCCAAGGGGAGACTGGAAGAGAAGGGATTGCAGTGTGGCCATTCCTCCTGGGGGTGATTTCTCACTTTCCCTCTCTGTCTCTCTCTGGCAAGCACACGCACCCTATAGCAAAAAAAAAAAAAAAAAAAAGACCAAATGAGAATACAACACAAACTGTGAATTTCCGTAATGCAGATTCATAACTATAACAAACCTTTAACTACAGATTTAAAAGTTCTGGTGGGGAATGCAGAACATCTTAAGGTTCCCTGAAACTCCACTTCTGATATGTCTAAAGAATTCTGCATCTAGGGTATATTTTCAAGTAAAAGAACAAGCTGTTTAAGTTCATTTGTGAAATACTACAAGTTTTTTATTCCTATTTTCTTGGACATAAAGGTTGTCTAATTAGTGTTGTCTGAACTAACCATATCTCACCTATTCAAGCCAGTCTAATTATTGTCTTACTAGTAAGATGACCTCCTTAAAAGAAGATGTAAGGCGCAGTGCCATGCTGTGTATTCTCACAGTCCCTGCTACAATGACCAGTCATGACCTTATGAAGTTTGTCGCCCCATTTAATGAAGTAATCGAACAAATGAAAATCATCAGAGACTCTACTCCAAATCAGTATATGGTGCTGATAAAGTTTAGTGCACAGGTAAAAGTTAAGATAATAAAATCTCTTGCCACAGAAACTGTTTTTGAAACTAAATGATACTACCTCTGTATGATTTATGTTTTGCACTTAAGGTTCTCTATATATCTTCCAGGGTATTATATTGTAGCTCTAGATGTCTTTCTAAACTCATTAGTAGTCGTACAATTGTAATTCATACTGTGGTTTTTTAATAGATCAAATTGGGTATGAAATCTAGGGTTTTGTTTGTTTTCTTATCCAGTGGTAACTATTCCAATAAAGCAGTAGTTCCCAAACTTAACAATGATGATACCATCTTATTTATTTTCTGTTATCCCAGTTTCTTTTGTTCACTTTCTTTTTTTAAAGATGTTTTTGCCTTAGGGGTGTGTACTTGCTGGAGAGAAAGACAGACAGAGACAGTGAGAGGGAAAGTGAGAAATCACCTCCAAGAGGGGATGGCCATGCCACAATCCCTCTTCCTCCATCTCCTGCTGGAATCTTGGGCACACACACACACACACACACACACACACACACACGTGCCCAGCGTGAGTTTCAAGCTACCAGGTCCAGGACTCAAACCAATGTCAGCCATGTGGGAATCCAGCAATGTAACTGTGACACCATCTGCTGGCTCCCTTTCTTTTTATTTATTTATTTATTTTAAATTTTACTTAACATTGTTATTATTTTTCCATTTGCTGTAGGACACATGTATTCACCAGAAAGAAACAGAGACGGAGAGAGAGAGAGAAAGTGGGAAAGCAAGCCTCCAGGTCCGGGATTTGAACCACAGTGAGCCACATGGGAGTTCAGCACCTCAACCACCATGCCCATCTGCTCGTTCCTTTTTTTTTTTTTCCCTTTAAGAGAGATTTTTGCTATAGCGTGCATGTACTCAGTGGAAAGACAGAAAAATGGAGAGACAGAAAGCGAGAAATCCTCCCCCCCCGGGGTGTGTGTGGCAATACCACAATCCCTTTTCCTTCATTCTCTCAGGATTTTGAGCATATACGCCTGGGATGAGTTTCAAGCCTCTGGGTTCAGGACTTGGAACTGCAGTCAGTCATGTGGGAGTCCAGCGATGTAACCATTACGCTATCTGCTGGTCCCTGCTGGCTCCCTTTCATTCACTTTTTAAAAGGTACTCTCTGGCACATTTTTAGAAAGTAAAAAACATTGTTTTTTCCAGTTTTGGTGACAAGGGATTTTATTGATATTCTCTGAAGTATTAAAGATGCTTGGGCCCAACAGGTGGCATGGTGACTGTGGTGCTGGACGTCCACCCACATGGCTGACTGTGGTTCAAGTTCCGGTCCCAGCCACTTAAAGATCTTGCTGGGTGCATGTGTGCATGCCTGAGAGGAGAATGGAGATAAAGGTTTATGGCATGGCCACTCCCCTGGGGGGTGATTTTCACTTTCCTTCTTTCTATTTCTCTGTCTCTCTCTAGTGAGTGCATGCACCCTAGGGGCAAAAATACCTAACAAAAAAAAAATTATAAAATAAGATGCTTTTGCCTTCTGATTGAAAATCTGCTGTAGAGAGAGACAGAAACACTGAAAGAAGGGTGATATTTTCGGTTTTTAAATGTGCTTGTGCATTATAGCATATTTTTTGATACAGCAAGGTTTTGGCATCCATTCCATTTTACATATAAGCATCACTGTTCAACTCAGTTATAAAAATAATAGGATGGTATTCTCTTGGTCTTGCATATTCATGGGTATGCATATTTCTATATGAATATAAAAGATAGGTAAGCTTTAGTCATTATCCAGGTTATTAAAGAACTACTCTAAGGTTTCATTCAGTTTTTTTTTTTTAAAAATAGCCTGTTGAATGTGTCCTTTGGAATTTTGTTAGGTTTGAAATGCAGCTTTGTCAAAAGCTAACTTCTCACTACCCTCTTTGATAAACAGCTTTCCTGAATTTGCCCCAGATAAACAGTTTCAACTTGCTGTTTGACAAAGAAATGGTTGTGCCTGTAGGATAATTTGCCATTGCCTCTCTCACTGGTCACCAAGGTTTGTGGGTAAAAGGGAGCCCATGACACAAGGCCTACTTTCTGTCTTCTCCTTCCTTGTTACAGAAATCCAGAGTTGACAGCAGTGGCAGCCAATCAGTGGCCCTATGGTGGAAATTAAGAGAATGAGAGTTGGATTATATTTGTACCTGTCCCATAGGCTCGAGAGAGTGAACCCTTAGTGTGGAGTTCTGTGTACACAGTTAATATCTGTAGCCTTTACTGAATACCCCACTACTGAGGGAGACATTGAAACTGTCCAGTAGATTTAGATTTCAGAAGTTGCCATTAAGAACAAAAAAGCATTTCATTCCTTTCACTGTCAAAAGGCCTCCCAAGATCACTGAGGAACTTTGCAAACTGTGGTAAAGTGGTACCCTAAACCATTTAAACCTGGTAGCATATAAAAATGAGGTTTATAATGTTGACATATAACCTTTCTTGGTGACTTCTGTACCCCTCTGTACCCCTCATTCTGCTAAGTGCTCAACATACATTATCTCATTTAATTACCTCTGTAACTCTTTAAAATAGACAGGTTCTGTTATCTTTGTTTTACAGACGAGGAAACTGACTGCAGAGAGAGGATAGTGATTTACCCTAGGGTTGCGTGGTTAAAAATAAATGACTAGGTTGGGAATTGAACCTTCACTCTTTTTTTTTTAAAGAATTACTTTATTCGGGGCCGGCAGGTGGCATGCTGGATTCCCACATGGCCGACCGCCATTCAAGTCCCAGACCTGGCAACTTGCTTTATCACTTTCTCTTTCTCTCTCTCTGTCTATCTGGTCAAACTTTAAAGAAAAAGAAGAAAAAAAAAAAAATTAAATAAATAATTCTTTTTTTTTTTTTTTAAGAGAGGTTTTTACTATCGGGCTCATGCACTCGCCGGATAGACAGAGAGAGACAGAGAGACAGAAAGCGAGAAATCACCCCCCAGGGGGGATGGCCACGCTGCAATCCCTTCTCCTCTGTTCTCCTCTTGGGATCTTGGGCATGCATGCACATACGCCCAACATGAGTTTTAAGCCACCGGGTCCGGGATGCGAACCGTGGTCGACTACATGGGAGTCCAGCGACATAGCCACTACGCTAACTGCTGGTCCCAATAATTCTTTTTTTAAAACAAACAAACAAACAAAAACAAGTATTTAGTTTTATTTATCAGTATTATTATTTTTTCAATTTGACCACAGAGCGACAGACAGAGAAAGTGAGAAAGCATGCCAGCAGGGCCAGGACTCAGACTGTGACTGACTACATGGGAGTCTAGCGCCCCAACAGTCACGCTACCTGCTGACTGTGAACCATCACTTTTTTTTGGAGAGGTTTTTGCTATAGGGCACGTGTGCTCACCAGATAGACAGAGAGAGACAGAGAGACAAAGAGAGACAGAAAACGAGAAATTACCCCCTGGGGGGATGGCCATGCTGCAATCCCTTCTCCATTCTCCCTGAAATCTCAGGCATGCACGCACATGCGCCCGGCGTGAGTTTAAGCCACCAGGTCCGGGACTCGAACTGCGGTTGACTACATGGGACTTCAGCAATATAGCCATTATGCTAATTGCTGCTCCCAAACCATCACTTTTAATTGCTAGGACACACTCCTCTTATAGTCCCAGTGGGGAATGAGACAATCACCATTTGCATGACATTCTATAACAGCAATAATTTAGTTATGGTTTCTACTTAACAGTTCCATGGCCTGGGGTTAAGGCAGCTGGATCCCCCGACCTCACTGGTTGCACTCCATACTCAGCCACTTGAGAGACACACCAGACATATATGTGTGTGTGTCCAAATCCCAACACAGTGGAGAAATGAAGGACAAGGGAATGCAGGGTGACTGTTTCCTTTGGTGGGGGGTTCCTCTCCTCTCCTCCCTCCCCGTGTCTCTGTGGTGAGCACACATGCCCTCTGGCAATTTTTTTTTTTTTTTTAATTAAAGGCAATCAGCAAGTACCACAAAGGAAAAGTCATGAAAATAGGTTGGGAAAAATGTTCAGGAACATGTTAGGCGTTGATGAAACAGTCTGAAGCTTAGTAAGCCCACAAACTTCCCTGTTTCAAGCGCTCACCTTCATAATGTGCAGGTTACAGTGGGTATTTTCTGTTACCTGTTCATGCTTTCTAATCTGTCTTTTGACCAAGAACAGGTTGCTCAGGTTGACAAATGTTCTCTGAGAAACAGCCTGCTGCATGTTCTTTCTCGTAGGGATAGAGCCCTTCATCTTGGTATTGTGAATTGTATTATTTATTGCTAACCCTGAACCTTAGAGTCTGATTCCTGTCATCCTATCAAAGCACATCCTATCAAATATTTTTCTAAGACCTAATAACACTCTCTTGGTAAAAGAATTAAAGCTGGTTAATATTAAGCTCTTGTGAAAGAATTGCCTCAAAGGCAAACCATTGAGCACTTACTGAATATCAGATCCTGTGCTAAGTGTTTTCATGCATTATTTCCTTGAATCCTCTCAACCATGCCATGAGGTGTAGTTGGTATTACTTTCATATTTTATAGTTAAAGAAACAGGTGCTTGCCCAAGAGTAAACAGCCTGACTACATAGCCTGAACAGCAAACTATATTCTTATTATTTCCTTTTTCTCTCCAGATAAAAATTTTTTTTTGAGAGGTTTTTGCTATAAAGGTGCATATGCTCGCCAGAAAGACAGAGACAGACAGAGAGACAGAAAGCAAGAAATAACCCCTTGAGGGTTAGGCAATGCTGCAATCCCTTCTCCATTCTCCTCTCAGGATCTTGGGCATGCACACACACACACCTGGCGTGAGTTTAAGCCACCGGGACCAGGACTCGAACCATGGTCGACTACATGGGAGTCTAGCGATGTACCCATTATGCCAACTGCTGGTCCCTCTCCATATAAATTTTATTAACCACTTATAAGCAGCCAGGCTTGGTGCCATGCACCTGTAATTTCAGCTAGGCTGAGGCTGGAGGATTGAATGTTTGGGGCCAGCCTGGTCAACATAGTGAAACCTTGGCTCTAAAAACAAACCTCGTAAGTTTTCTCTATATTTTTCTTAATACCTTGAAGTTTTGTTGGCCTGAGCTTTATGTCATAGGTCTTATAAAAAGATGTGTTTTTTGGGGCCAGCAGAGGGCATGGTGATCAGGGGCGTTGGACTCCTGCATGGCCGACCACAGTTTGAGTCCCGGACCTAGCGGCTTGCTTCCTCATCCCCCACCCCCTTACTCTGTCCCTCTCTGGTCAAATTTAAATAAATAAATAAAGTTGAATAAATTAATTCTTAAAAAAAATAAAGAGAAGATGTGCTTATAGACTTTAGGAAACCTGGTCTTTGGTAAAGAATTTGTAATTCACCAAGACTACATGAAAGCAGGTGGGGTTTAATTTTGCAGTTCTCGGAGACAAAAAAAGACAGATAACCTCTTAATAGAATATGTTGACTCATTTTCACTTACACCCTCGCTTAGCCAAGGAGACCTCTACCTATTTGAAAAAATTTATTTATTTTGTGTGTGTGTGTGAGAGAGGAAGGAAAGGAAAGGAAGAGTAAGAAAAGGACCCCTTGGGCCAGTAGGTGGCATGGTCATTATGGTGCCGGACTCCCACGTGGTTGACGAAAATTCAAGCCCTGGACCTGGCCGTTGCTTTCTTACTTCTCTCTCTGATGAGCATGTGTGCCCTGTAGCAAATTAAAGAATAATAATAATGATAAGTAACTAAATAATAATATTTTTTAAATGAAGAAAAAGGAAAGGATTTCTAATAGGGTTTTTTGTTGTGCTGTGATCCCCATCCCTAAGCCTTCCAGCTAGCTAGGATCATGGGCAGGCCTGGTACGTTCAGTTCCACCCAGGATCTAAACCCTGGGCCTTCCCATATGGCTATAGTATTGCACAGTGGTCCCTACCACCTATTCTGCCACAGCTGGGCCAACCCTACTTTTTATGACTAAAAATATGTTCTTAGTACTATATGCTTATGCACCCCATTACAGCATTGGGGCCAGTGATGGACTTCATATACAACAGTGGTCTCGTAAGATTATAATATGCTACACAAGACATCCTAGGTGTGCAGCAGGCTATACCATGTATGTTTGTGTAGTACCCACTGTGATGCTCACACAATGGCAGAATCACCTAACAACACATTTCTCAGAACACATTCCCATTGTTAAGCAACAGGTAATTGTATGTGATCATGATGACAGTAAAGGAACCATGATCTTGATGGATTTGTCTTTTTCTAAGTTCATCCTCAAAAGAGAATAAGGACAAAGGATTAGATGGGACCAGCAGATGGTATAATGGTTATCGCTGGACTCCCATGTAGTTGACTGGTTCGAGTCCTGGATTCGGCGACTTAAAACTCAACACTGGTCACATGTGTGTGCATGGCCAAAATCCCAAGAGGAGAATGGAGGAGAAGGGATTGTGGCAAGGCTGTCCCCACCCCACCCCCTGGGGGTGGGGGGGTGATTTCTCACTTTCTGTCTCTCTGTCTTTCCAGTGAGTGCACGTGCCCTAAAACAGAAAATAAATAAGCAAACCAATGGACTTGGGGGGAAAAAGCCAAGTTTCTTTAAATATTTTGGCTCCATACAATGAAAACATTTAAAATAAAACAGTTGTCTCTTCTATGCTCTTTGCAGTTAGCTTTGGGCTTTTGTTTAATGTGTTTGGATGCTGGGTTGAAGTATGAACTGTGTGAACTTTGCTCCCTACTATTTTCCTAGTGCACAGTACAGTGTCTGACACACACTCGAGGCTCAGTCAATATTCAAACGTGAGGCTATATTTTTAATTCTGAGATTTTAAAGATCAATGTGTTCAAATTAAGAAATCTCCACTGTTTATGGACGTTCTCATTTCAGAAAAAGCATGTTTTTCTTTGGTTTAGGTCAAGAACTCTCCCTCAGAAAGAAATTATTTGTCTGGTGTTGAGTGTGTTTGGTCACACGCCCTGTCCCCTCCCCTGAGGAGGCCTGTCTCAGCGTTTACAGAGCTCGACGAGAGCTCTGCATTACTTCAGTAGCCACCACCAGTACTTGGTGGTGCTTGAGGCCACGGCAGCTGAGTAGAGGCCCTGATGGCAGGCAGTTTGATCCCTTAGTGCACGAATCCATGTGCTGTTGTGCTGCTACCTGCATTTCAAGAAAAACTGTTGATCCTGACGAATAGGGAAGTAATTTTAGGTCACTTCTTAAAATTAAACAGATTCAGGGCCAACAGGTAGAGTAGTGGTTAAGAGCACTGGACTCCCACATGGCCTACCACAGTTCGAGTTCTGGACCTGGAGGCTTGCTCTCTCACTTTCCCTGTCTTTCTCACTCTGTCCCTCCTTGGTCAAATTAAATAAAAAAATAAAGTTAAATAAAATTATTTAAAAAGAAAACAAGAATTAAAGAGATTTTGGCCAACAGGTAGCATGGTGGTTAAGGGTGCTGGATTCTCACATGGCTGGACATGGTTCAAGTCCCAAACCTGGTGGCTTGCTTTCTCACTTTTCCTTCTTCTCTTTCTCTCTCTCACTCTGTCCCTCTCTGGTCAAGTTAAAATAAATAAAAAAGAATTAAAGAGATTTATTACTCAATAACTAGCTTTCAACATTTTGAAGTTAAAATTTACTGTTATAGATTGTTCCTGAAGGAAAGCCTTAGAAATAAAACTGTATTCAGACTTGATCATCCTTCATCAGCCACTTAGCTCACTTGGTGCATAGTAAGAAAGCATAAATAACTAAGAATCCACAATTGAGTTAGATCATTGGAGTGGAATTCAGTCTGCCGAGGCACTTAGGATGGCTGAGACGCAGAACTCTGAGTGTAGACAGGCAAGACTCTTTTCCTGGTGCAGCCTTGAATCTCTTCCTAGAGATTGATAATGCAGCGCACTTCCTTATACAGAACCCCCTCCCCCGCCTCCCCAAAACTGCTCATTTCTGCTGATAGGGCCGAAGCACACAACTTCCTTGTTTGGACTAATGCCCATGTGGGAGTAAAATTTTAGACAAGCTTTGGCCTCCCACTACCTCACAAAATTGGCTAAGTTTGAGAACTAGAATCATCTCTTTGTTGCTTTCTACTAAGTTTAGACTATAGAAGGTTTGATCTACGTTTGTTCACAGAGACACATGTGCGTTTGCAGCTTTAACTAATGGGCTTTTTCTCCTTAATTTATCTATTTTTCCATTGCAAGGAAAGGAGACCGTTAATATTTTAAAGGCTGATTCATCTTGCCCTTCTTGACCTTGACCAAGAGTTTTACTATTAGTACTGGACACTGGGTTGTTTAAAGCCTCATGATGAGATCTGTAACTATTATGTATTATTCCTATTTGGCTTACTGAAGAGGAGTTGGCTTTTCATCCCATACTGGTTCCACTGGTCCTTTTTTTTCTCCCCCTAATGTAAATGCTGCTTTTTAAAAGTTTGTTTATTTCATGAGCAAGAGGCATCCCGACAGGGTCCTGCTCCAACATGACGCTGCCTTCAGCCCTTCACCTTTCATGCAGGGCCTCTGTGGAGCCAGCATTGAGCAGTAGTGCCCTTACCACCTGTACAGCCACACCTGGGCCCTGACGCGTTTTTAAAAAGAGTCCTTCTATAACAGTCATTAGTTATGATTTTGCTTTCAACCTCTGTAAAATTAATTGTTTACTTTCATCTGCTATAAAAGTGATGACTAGAGGGGAAAAAAACTGCTATCAAGGGGAATATTGACCATTGCTGGTTGAATATTAAAAGTGTGCTAGCTGTCAGTTTATCTCAGTGCAGTTCCTTCTGCCAGTTCAAGTAAAAACTTCCATGTAGTTGAGGAAACATAAAGGCATGAGATCCTGACCTGCAGAGTTCAGTCAGCCTAACTGCCTGCTTTAGGAGATACTACTTTTGGTGGTTGCTTTCTCTCCTAAGTTATAAGTTTAAAAAAAACTGATGAAAATAATTAAAGCCATACATCGTATATATAAAGCAAAACCAGCAGAATATCTGTCTTAATTCTCTCTCTTTCCCCATTGGTATAGGCTGACGCAGATAGTTTTTATATGGCATGCAACGGCCGCCAGTTCAACTCCATAGAAGATGATGTTTGCCAGCTGGTCTATGTGGAAAGGGCTGAGGTGCTGAAATCCGAAGACGTAAGTGTGAACAATTTTTATGTTTGATTATAAATGTATCAGATTGGTATTCAGTTGAATGTTAAGGGACCAACCAGTGGCAGAGTGGTTAAAGTGGCTGGATCTCATGTGACTGACTGCATAGTTCAAATCCCAGACCTGACAGTTTGACAGACATGTCAGGTGTATGTACGTGCATGCCTAAAATCCTAATAGGAGAAATGGAGGAGAAGGGTTAGTGGTGTGACCACACCCCAAGAAAAGTGCTTTCTCATCTTCTCCTTCTTTCTCTGTCTCCGTCTGGCAAGCACATGCACCTGACTAGCCTGACTAATTTTAAAAACTAGAACGTTACATATCTGTGGAAATGTCCAGAATAGGCCAGTCCATTAAGACAGAAAGTAATAAGTGGTTTCCAGATGGGTAGGGAAAAAAGGAATGAGGAGTGACTGCTCACAGGTACCAGATTTCTTCTTGAAATAATGGAAATATCCTAGCATTAGATAATAGTGAAGGTTGTACAAACTTGTCAGTGTACTAAAAGCCACTGAATTATATATTTTAAATAAAGAATTTGATGTTGATTTTATCTCCTTTTTTAAGTTGCAAAAGCTGTAGAATAATAATTTGTATTGTTTTAATTGAATGTTTGTCTATCCCAGAGCAATGAAGCATTGTCTGGAGCTTAAGAGACATGTTTTTGTTTTAAATATTAACCATTAATATCTACTTCCTAATTTTTTAAAGAAATTGTTCATTTTATTTATTATTTTTAAATTTGCTGTAGGGCACATGCACTCCTTAGGGGGGGAGAGAGAGAGAGAAAAGGAGAAAACAAGCCACCAGTGCCAGGACTCAAACCAGTTGGTCACTTGGGAGTCTGGTGCCTTATTCACCATGCCACCTGCTGACCCCCCACTTCCTAGTTTTTGATTCTGTTTTAATAGCAATTTGTAATTGCTCTGATCTGCTGACCTCTATGGGAACCTTTCTTATGATGTGTGCTCAATTGAATCATTTTTGATTTTTGTTTTTGCTATAGGATGCATACACTTGCCTGAGAGAGAAAGACAAAGAGAAAGAAAGTGAGAAATCACCCCTCAGAGGGGTGGCCATGCCACAGTCTCTTTTCTTTCCTCCTATTTTGGGCATGTACATACATGCACCCAGTGTGTTCCTCAAGCCACTGGGTCTGGGACTTGAACTGTGCCGTCAGCCATGTGGGATCCAACTGTCTTAGTCACGTTAGTGGCTGGCCCCTTGAATCATTTTATAAACCAGCAGATTCAGCTCTGACTTCATCCTTTTTTTTTTTTTTTTTAAACTTTCCGTAGGGCAGGTCGCTTGCCAGAGGGAGACAAAGAAAGCAACCTCCAGAGTGATGGCCACACCGCAGTCTCTTCTCTATTCTCCTCTCAGGATTCTTGGTCCACACACAAACATGTCGTACTTTTCAAGCCACAGGGTCTGGAACTCAAACCATGCAGTCAGCATGTGGGATCCAGCCACATTAACCACCATGCCAACAGCTGATCTGAGATTTCTGTTATTTTAAAGTAGACCTAAAGGTCTTTTTACCTGAAATCAGCTTAATGTAAGTGAGTTCTGATTAAATTGTTCCATCTTTAGGCAGAGTGTTTTAAAATTTGATATGTTGGGCTTTCCAGACTGGCTCCATCGCCATGTGGTTTAGGAAGCCAGATCTCACAAAGCTGACTATGTGGTTTGACTCCTAGCCCTGCAGACTTGAAAAACTCAATAGGCACACACACAGGTGTGTCCAAATCTCAGGAAGATGGAAAAATGGAGGAGGTACTGTAGGATGACCATGCCCCATAGTGGGGTGCTTTCTCCTTTTCTCTGTCTCTCTCTCTCTCTCTCTGGTAAGCACATGTGTCCTCTGAAGAAACGAAAAATAAAATTTTAAGAGTTTTTTGCCTTAGAGTATGTGCACTTCCCAGAGAGAGACAAAGACAGTGAGAGGGAAAGTAAGAAATCACTCCCTAAGGGAGGTGGCCATGCAGCAATCCCTTCTCCTCCATTTTTCTCCTGGGATCTTGGGCACGCACATGCACCCAGCTTGAGTTTTAAGCCAGTGGGTCCAGGACTCGAACTGTGGTCAGTCATGTGAAAGTCCAGTGACTTAACCACTATGCCATCTGCATGCCCTGTTGCCCTCTGGCAAAATTAACAACAACAAAAGAAAGAAAGGAAACTGAGCTTCCTTTGTGCCAGTTGCTGCACCTGGTCTCAGTTTTAGAGATTCATTTATTTTAAAAGAGTTATTTATTTAATTTTAATATTACTTTAATTTGCTATAGAACACATGCACTCACCAGAGAGAAACAGCACAAAAGAAAGTGAGAAAGCAAACTGCCAGGTCTATGACTCAAACAGCAGTCATATGGGAGTCCAGCATCCGAACCACCATGTCACCTGCTGGTCCCAAAATTCTCAAATATAAATGAGCACAGCTTTTTTTTTTTTTTTTTTTTTT